AGTATCTAGAGGTCAAAGTCTGGGTCAACCAATTAGAGGGTAAAGGAGTCTAGAGGGAACCTCAAACATGTATTTGAGACCCAAAAAGAACTGTTCCTGAAAGTCAGCCTTCCCCCTCACCCCATTCCCTTTCTGACTAAGCAGAGTCAGAAAGAGAAAAGAAACCCAGCCTGAGAGCCTGTAAAAGTGAGCAGGTTCCTCTTATAGATTCCAGTCAAAATTCACAGCCCAGAGATGAGCCTCAAACACAGGACTGTTGCATTTTACGTGGTGCCAGCCTGACAGCTCCCCTAAAGTCAGCAAAAGGAAAAGCAAACCTCCCTTGGAAAAAACCACTCATCTCAGACCTTGGGGACTTCACAAAAATAAAATCTGAAGAATGAGGAGTGACAAATAGCCAAAATAATCACACATGGACAACATGATTCAATACATAGAAAAATAAGGACTCCATCAAAGGACCATGAGAACTGGAAAACAGATTCAGTAAAACTGCAGAATACAAAAGAATACAGAAGAAAAAAATAACAGTAGCATTTTTACATGCCAATAATAAACTTGCTAAAAAAGCAATTCTATTCACAATAGGCCTGTTGACCCTCAAAAAAAAACTGATGAGAGACTACATACATTGTCACAATGCCTGCACCCAAGGAGCTGCTGTCCACGAGGGGACATTTGGCAATGTTTAGTGATATTCTTGGCTGTGAGAACTGGGAGGGAAGATTACCAATGGCCTCTAACGTGTAGAGGTCAGGAATGCTGCGGCACACTTAACAAAGCATGGAACAGCTCTCCACATGAAGATTTATCCTATCTCCAAAAGGTCAGTAATGTTGAGAAACCTTGCGTTAAACATTTAATTGGAGAAGTCAAAAGGTGGTACGACTTGAGGAGAGGCAGAAGATCCGAATTTGGTAATTGCTGATGAATGGGTATTGTTCACCACCTGAAGACTAGCTGAGATCACCATCCAGGGAGAGTGTAGGTGGGGTACAGTGTGAATGCCTGGGCACTCCAGGATGACAGACAGGGAAGGAGGGGCAGACAGTGAAGAAGGCTGAGAAGAAGAACCAAAACTGAGGATTGGAAGATGGTGTTAGAGGTTAAGAAGAAGGGAGGTGTAAGAGAGGGCCACACAGGACAGTGGGCATGTAAACAAACTAGAGAAGTCTACTTCAGGGCTCACTGGACGTGCCCGGGACTGTCCTTTAACAACACAAACACAGCTAAGCTACCAGGTACACAGTTAGAGTTAACCAAGGTGTGGCTTTGCCAAACAAACAAGAGAGGAGCACTTAGGGCCCAGGGAATTGGCAGTGCACATGGGGAGAGGTCATCATGACTACAGAATTTAAGCTTGTGAGGAAGGGCAAACACAAGAGGGATAAAGGATGGTGAAAAGGTGGGAGACTCAATGGGTGGGGGTGGAGGATACTGGAGTACGGTCAGAGAATAGGAGTCATTCAATTGAGGCTATGGAGGTTGAAATTGTGAGTCTTAAGAAAAACATCTAAGAAGTGAGTGGCTGAGATGGAGGAGAGACGAAGAAATGGAGAAGCCAAGCTGTGGAAAAGTTACCTCCATGGGTACAGAAATCTTGAGTATGGTGGGAGAAAGAGCAGTGAGCAAAGGAAGATACAATCTTCAAGAAATAGGGGCTGGACAGATGGCTCAGCAGTTAAAAGCACTGGCTGCTCTTGCAGAGAGGACCCAGGTTCAATTCCCAGCACCCACATGGCAGCTAACAACTGTAACTCTAGATCCAGGGGATTTAAAATCCTCTTCTGGCCTTATGGGCATTGCATGCATGTGGTGCTCTTACATATATGTAGCTAAAACACTCATACACATAAAAATAGGAATAAATAAATTTTAAAAATTAAATCTGTAAGAGGTAAAGGGAAGAGCCATGGGGCCAGTGGCTGACTGCAACATGGGAAAAAGCAGACCGGTGGGAGAGAAATAGTCCCACTTTTGGTCTCAGAATACAAAAACAAAACAACAGCACAACCCATAAAAACCCAAAACTAGCAGCCTGGGTGAGCTATATTCTATTAATGATGATGGAGCTTGAGAACACTGTGCTATTTTAATAAATAACACTAATGCCTACCCCAAATTCAAATTATTTTACTGATTCAGTTATTATAACATCAGAATTTGAATTGTATAGGCGAGCAAACAATGTTTCATCTGAATATGGCTTGTGAACATATTCTCAGATACCTCTGAGATAATAAAACATTGAATTCGTCCAGCTTCTGGAATTTAATCCTTTGTGGGAGGTGGGGAGGAGAGGAGAAAAGACAAGAGAGAAACAGGAAAAGTGTGTTTGCAAAAGGTTTATCTAGTCCTCTAGATAAGCCAAGGCCATTTGGTCTTTTAAGGTTTCCAGTTTTGCCTAATGCCCAGGCTCTGTGTTGTCTTTCCACAGCAGGCCTTTGGCAGACCCTCAGAGTTGAGTAAGAACAGAAGGGGAAGCAAAAGAACCATCTAGAAAAAAGAACCATCCAAAAGTTGAGGTAGCCAGACTGATTTTATGTGTAGCTAGGTTACCTGACAAGTCATAAAGCCAAGAATAAGCCAGTGTTTGTATTCGTCCCCTGAAGCGAACAGGGTAAGATTTACCGCAGTGAAAATTCACCATTCTAGCTCTGATCTTTGAATCAGTAGGGAGGACTCCATGGTGCAAATGCATGTATATCCTGCTGAAAGCGTTGTGTTCACTTGGCAATCACAACCTTTTCTTACTTTTTATTTTTGTTTTTAAAAAATATTTTATTATTTATTTATTTTTAATATTTTATTATTTTTATCGAAGGTCAGAAGAGGGCTTCGGATTCCCCTGGAACTGGAGTTAAGGACGGTTGGTAGCCGCCATGTGGGTGCTGGGAATCAAACTTGGGTCCTCTGCAAGAGCAGTCAGTGCTCTTAACCCCTGAGCCAGCTCTCCAGCCCCTATTATTTTTATTATATGTGTATGAGTATATTGCTTTCATGTAGGTAGGTACACCTGTGTTGTGCAATACCCCAGGAGGTCTGAAGAGGGCATTACCTCCCCTGGAACTGGAGTTAGGGAATGGTTGTTAGTCACCATGTGGGTGCTGGGAACTGAACCTGGGTCCTCTATAAGAGCAGATACTGCTCTTAATTGCTGAGTCATCTCTCTAGTCCCTTTTTTTTTTTAACGACAGGATCTTATGTAGCCCAGGCTGATTGAAACCTGAGATCCTCCTGCCTCATCCTCCCAAGCACTGGGATTATAGGCATACATCCCCATGCCGAGATACAATATCTTGTTCTCAATTTCCAAGGGGCCACACATTTCTTCACAGGTTATCATAACAATCTGGAAAAAGCTCTTGAGGACTGGTACTATTATTAGCTTCTTTTCGTTTAGGGAACAGTAAGACATAGAGAACAGAAAATGACTGAAGTTCCAAGTAACAAAGTCAAAGTCACAACTCTGTGGCTTGACCAGGCCATCCTCCTTCCTGTTCAGCATACATGCCTCCAACAAGGCTATGGAACTCCAGGGAAATGCCCCCTTCAGATTCCAGCTACCAAACCCTGGCCGGCACTGAGGGTGGAGCACATGATAAAGTGCAGAGGGTTGCACTGTGTGCTCAGAAACCCTCAATTGAAAGCGCTGCCTCGCCCGCCTACTCACTAGCTGTGTGTCCTAGAACAAGTTTTTTCGCTTGCTTCAGTTTTCTTGCAGGGAAAATGGAGATAGTATCTGTTCAACTTACTTAAAGTACTTAAGAAAGGAGCAGAGAAAGAATATCTGCGGAATTGCGGAGAGTCAACCTAATAGGGCTGGAGAGAAACTGGGCGTGGCCTTTAATCCCAGCATTTAGGAGGCAGAGGTGGCCAGATCTCTGTGAGATTAAGGTCAGCCTGATCTACAGAGCAAGTTCCAGGCCAGCCAGGGAGACAGGGAGACCCTGTCTCAAACAAACAAACAAACAAACAAACAAACAAACAAAAAACAAAGAAAGAGGGGCCGGAGAGATGGTTTAGCAGTTAAGAGCATGCTCTGTAAGAGGACCCGAATTGATTTCCACATTTGAGCACCCGAGTTTGAACACTCACACTAGGAAGCTTACAATCGCCTGTAACTCCGGCTCCAAAAGGATCCACCGGCACCCGCACTCTTGTTCATGAACCCAGGCACACACCATAAACTTTTAATTATAAATAAGATGAATATGTTTTTTAAAAAGAGGGCACGTATCAGGCACGGTCCAGCCAAGTCCTACTTAATCCAAAGCACTTTCTAGCCTTCCCGTCCAGCCCACATTGAGCTCTCCCTTGGCACTTCCTACCGCACTATTTATCTTAGCACTTGATATGATCTGTCTTGTATTGTTACTTAAGTACTTCTGGATCAGGACCTTCTTCCCTCGGCAGAGCCTAGCACAGGGCCAAAAGCTGGACAGTGCTCTGTGTTCTCAATGTGGAGCGCTGACCCTGCTTTGACTACAGACTCATTTCTGTAAGAAAAAAGAAACTATTTTTCTTGTCTTGGTGCTAGGATCAAGCAAGCTCAGCTTGTGAGTGCTAAACATGTGTTCTACCAGTGAGTTCCACCCCAGCCAAGGAAAAGTTTCAAAAGTGTCCCTGTGATATAGTTATGCTTACACTCTAATAAGGGTATTTAGCAAGAGGCAGGGCTTTTTATTTAAGAGGATCTACCATATCAACTGATTCAAGAGGCAAATGCATCCACCCAACAACAGAAAAGATCCCACAGGCTCCCCAGGCCAGGGGAATCCTGCTGAGACTTGCCCCAGAGGGAGAATTTTCTCTCCCAGTACTCCCCTTAGGTTAAAACCTCACAGGAAACATCTTCCTGGACACATCTGCAAGTCTGGCAGGTCTTGTTAGATTTCTATGGGAAATGAGGTATGCTGGAGGTTTTCCACTGGGGTTGGGTATATACACCGGATAATGAACATTTTCCCACACAACACAATTTGCTAGTTACACCTTACCTCATCTTTGTCAACTAGTGTGCTGGGATTTGGGCGGGGCTGGTCTCTGAACGAGTAGGAGGCCATCTGCTTCTTTAACAGGTCCAGGAAGTCAGGAGGCTTGTACTGTGGGAGATCCATTAGTACCGGATCGTTTCTTTGCACAAGAGGTAGTCTTTTCCTTCCTTCATTTTTAAAATTGTAGGTTGCTTTCACTGGATTTAACAGGGATTCTTCAATAAAAGTTTTCAAGTGGTAAGTGCCAGGTATTGGAGTATTCTATGGAAAATTGACAGCAGTTTTAAGATCGATCATTGTGTAAACCTATAACTGTTCCTAAAGTGCCATTATCCTTGAAGGGGCATTTCTAGAAGGCTCTTCTCTTTGTCTCCAAGTTTAATAAAATTCTATCAATTATAACAGACACTCTTGACAGATTATTTCCAAAAGAATCATGATTGTTTCCATTCTGAAACAACTGCTGAATATTGCAAAAGGGATACAGTTGAAAATTAACTTTAAAATATTTTTTTAATTAATTACTTTTTTTTGGGGGGGAGGGTCTTTTTTGAGACAGGGTCTCCTTGCAGCCCCAGCTGGCCTGGAACTCACTATGGAGACCAGGCTGGACTTGAACTCACAGAGATTTGCCTGTTGCCTCCTGTGTGCTGGGACAACAGGCCTGAGCCACCAGGCCCAGCTTAATTCATTACTTTTATGTGTGGGGATTGAGGAAGCGCACATGCCACTGTGTGCATGTGGCAGTCTGTTATCTCCTTCCACATGGGTCCTGGGGATTGGCTTAGTGACAGGAGTCTCTCACCAGCTCAGCTCAAAAGTTAACTTTTTCCTTTTCTTTTTTTAATTTTTGAATTTTTTATTTTTTGAGACAAGGCCTCACTATGTAGCCCCAGCTGGCCTGAAACTCATTACATAGACCAGGATGGCCTCTATCTTACAGGGATCTGCCTGTCACTGCCTCCTGAGTGCTGAGATTAAAGACATGTATCACCACTTCCACAAAAGTTAACTTTTTAAAGAGTAACTTCAGGGATATATTTGCAATTCCACTTTGACTGGGATTGCTGGCTGGCCAGTGAGTATTCAGCAGTTTCTTGGCTAACTAAAAGCTGCCCTATTGCTTAGCAGGTATTGCGTTTCTAACTCGCCTCAAGAGGAAGATTAAAATATAACACCAGCTTCAGTATGAACTGGCAGAACACATGGTCTACTTAGTCCAAGAAGGTGCTTCAATTCATAACCACAGAGTGGCTCACTGGCTAGTTTTAGTCCCTGCTGTTCTATGGCTATCTTTCCATTGAGTGCTCAACCCAGTTCTTCTGTTAAAAACTAGTTCAATTTGCCAGGCATTGTGGCACAGGCCTCAGATCTCTGTGAGTTGCAGGCCAGCCTGGTCTACATAGCGAGTTCCAGGCCAGTCAAGGCTACATAATGAGATCATAATGTCTCAAAGAAAAAAAACAAAAACACCATGACACAAATATTTTTAAACCAGTTCAATTTCAGTTTGCCGCTATTGTTGAAGGGTGTTCATAGAAAATACATTTGCTGGGCTGGGCTGGGCTGGAGAGACGCCTCAGTGGTTAAGAGCACTGGCTGCTTTTGCAGAGGAGCTGGTTGGATTCCCAGCACCCACATGGCAGCTAGCAACCATCTGTAACTACAGTTCCAGGGGATCTGACACTCTCTTCTGATTTCCACAGGCATTGTACAGAGGTGCACTTAGATACTTACAGTCAATATATTCATACACATAAAATAAAAATAATAAATAAAATTAAGCCAGGTGTGGTAGCACATGCCTTTAATCCCAGCACTTGGGAGGCAGAGGCAGGAGCTTCTGTGAGTTCAAGGCCAGCCTGGTCTACATAGTGAGTTCCAGGACTGCTGGGGCTACAGGGAGACCCTGCTCAAAAAAGACAAATAATAAATAAATAAATAAATATTTTAATAAAGAAAATACGTCTGCAATATAGAAAGTACCCCTTGAGAGGGTAATCTGGCCATTCTCTCATACATTACCACTATGCTCTGTACACTTTATATATTGACCATGTTAACAAAAGTCATCTTAGGTTCTCTATCATCTGTGACAAAATCTGAAGCCAAATTCCTTTTCCATAGTGGATGCTTTTTCTTTCTTCTGCAATGCAATCATAAGATCACAGGTTAGCCATATCCAGATACTCTGGAAAGCACCTGGATTCCCAGAATTGTTTTATTTTCTAAGCTTTCATTATATTCAACTATTTAAAGCTAATTTCTCATTCATATGCTAATACTGAAATTCCAAGTAGGAAATGGGGCCTATGTAGATCTGAGCAGCCACAGGTTCCTTAAAATTAGGTTACTGACTTATAAAAGTGAGACTGATTAAAATCTTAATGGGAACACAAATAATTTGAACAGGAAAGTTTGACAATATACACACCGTTAATGTTATCCTCCACCACCCTTCTCTTTCAAAAGCTGAATTCTTCCGGGTTTGTTTCTATTAACAAACATAAAGTCTGCTTATTCATTTGGAAGGTGATTTCTTGAAATGAAATATAACTTATAAAACATTTACTTAAAGAAATTAATACTGCACCAAAACAAAAGCTACACAATGATAAATTTTGCCTGTATTTCCTTAAATTGTTCTTCTGTGATCTTAAATGATTGTAAATATCCACATTCTCTTTGGTGAAGGAAGGGTTAATAATAAATAGACCTATCTGACAGAGGTGTCAGAAGAATATTAGCTGGGTTGGAGAGATGGCTCAGAAGTTAAGAGCACTGGCTGCTCTTGCAAAAGACCCAGGTTCGATTCTAAGCACCCATATGGTGACTAACAACTGTCTGTAACTCCAGTTCCAGGGGATCTGACACCCTCTTCAGAGGCACTGCACTATATGGGTGCATTTACATACATACAGGCAATACACTCATAAAAATTTTTAAATAATAATTAAAAAAAAGAAGAATATTAGCTATAACAAAATTTGATGCTGGTCCACAGCTTCCTCACTTAGCAGTGAGGTACTCTGGGCAAATTGCTCAGACCTCATGTACTGAGCATCTTCAAAGAAGCATAAAGCACAGAAGCTAGGCATGGTGGCACATACCTTTAATCCCAGCGCTCACTCAGGAGGCAGAGGCAGGCAGATCTCTGTGTGTTCAAGACCAGCATGGGCTACATAGTGAGTTCCAGGCCAGCTGGGGCTATAGGGAGACTCTGTCTCAAAAAGACCAAAATAAATGAATAAATAAATAAAATAAAAAATAAAGCACTGCTGGAGTTGGCATGGGGATGGGTGTTGTACATATAGGCTTATACCCATGAATATGATCAAAGTATATTATATGTAGGTATGAAAATGTCATAATGAAATCCATAATTTTATTAAACACTACCAAAGAAAAGACTCATGCATACAACCAATGCTCTGTAAATGCTATTTTTAACATCTCAACTGCCCAGAAACAGATTATTATAGCTGGGAGTAGAGATTCACACCTTTATCCCAGTACTTGGGAGGTAGAGGCAGGGGAGGGAATCTCTGTGCGTTCAAGGCCAGCCTGGTCTGTAGGGAGCTCCAGCCCAGCCAAGGCTACATAATGAGACTCATTCTCAAAAAAAAAATAAATAAATAAATAAAAGGAAACAGATTATTTGGAACGGGTTAAAAAGAATAATCTGTAAAAATAACTGATATAAGTCATTTTTCCTGTCTCATAACTGAAATTGAACCCTACTTATACGTTCCGTAGTGCTATTATAAAATATGTGCATTTCTCCAAAAACAAAACAAAATCCCAGGGTTTCATGCATGCTGAGCCTGAACCAACCCTCCCCTCTTCCTTTATTAGACTCTGTTGCGCCTCTCAGAAAGAAAACTTTTTCAGGTTGGTCAAGACAGGCCTCCCACATTTCCCCCAAAGCAGAGAAATGAGGTGGGCAGGATCAGGCAGAGGGAAACAAAATCACCCAAAGAGAGAGAGCTGGCAGCTGCTTGGTTTGGCCCAGGTGATCTAAACAGCACTTTAAATTCACCTTACAGGGGAAGAGAAGAGGCTAAACATCCATCACACAAATTTATTTAAAACTTAAACAAAGGCTACTTCAAATGTTTTATACATAGTAAAGTTGGAGTCAGGGCAAAACATGCTGATAGAATTGGGAAAAATTCATTCTCTCAAGAGAAGGAAGAGAATGGGGGGGAATCTAATTATATTACTAAAGCAACCAGTAGTGGGAAGAAAAAAAAAAAAACGTAAAGGAGGCAAGAGAAAAGGAAATAATAACAATAAAATGTCAGCCAAACAAAAACAAAGGATTGCAGGGTAGATGGTCCAGGAAAGAACTTAGGGAGATTGCTGAGTGGCCAGCAGGCCTGGGTGAGAGTGAGTGATGGGGGAAAGCTTTGCTTAGTGAGGAGGGCTGCGGAATGCAAGCAGGCTACCCTACCGAGGTCGAGACAAGTGACTCTCCATGGCCCAGGTCTTCTCTCCGTACCGCAGAGGAGGTGATGGCTGGCTGGTCCATTGTAGCCTCCTCTCTCCCCAGGACCTGTCTGGCGTCTGGTTGCTAGGAACCCCAGCAGCCCGCCATTTTCCCAGCGCGCGTCTGTGCCCGCGCAGGGGACTTGCAGGTGGCCTCTAGAGGTGGGGGCAGGGAAGCCGCGCACTGAGACCCCAGTGAAGCTGACATCCCTTGAGATGGCTACGCGCATGTCATAAAATCCAGGGGGCTTTGGAGTCGCCAGGGTTCTTGGGTATCTGCGACTAGGCAGACTTTTCCACCCTGAGGGTAGCCACAATTTCTATCACGTCCTCTCAAATCACCCCCAATCCCACATCCTAGAAGGGGGAGTTGGTAGGCATATTTAAGGTAGAATTCTGCCGTGTCACCCACTTTCTATGACTGTTCCCAACTTCCTGGGAACAAGAACGGAGGTGTGGCTTCTTTGATCCGATTGGAGGCGGTGAGCCCTAGCCAGCAGGTGCGGCTAGCTGTGAAAACAGACCACCCCTTTCTTCTGTATAGGCCTTTTTCGCTTTGAGCCTCTCTTGGCTGTAGCTTCTCAACCTAGATTCTTTTTGTAAATTTCTCAACCTTAATTCCCCGTTTCAGGGACTTCAAATATATCACACCTCAAGTAACCCTGCAGGGCAGGTCTTAGTACCATCTGATGAATGAGGACAGCCCCCTTGGACAGTGTAAGTGACAGCATCACACAGAAGCTGCCGAATGCAAACCCAGATATGGCTCCAAAGCTCCGCTGCCCTCTACACCAAGTTTTTGCTTCCCATCACAAACTTTTGATTCGTTCTTTCCTCACATTTGTTGGTAAAACCATCTTGATCTGGCATGTGCACACCTTTCAATTAAAATTGCCCTCCAATATGCTTGCCAACAACCCAATTGCCAACTCCAAGGGGGATTTCCAACTCTTAAGATTGGCCTGCATTTCTTACTACTTCATTGAGTACTGCCTCATTTTTGAGTGAGTCTCTCCTCTCAGCATTGGAATAACATGGCTGTATTTGCTGTAAAGAAGTTAATAAAGCGGTGCCTACCCACGTGGGTTACTATGAACTTCAGAGAAATGCTTGCAACCATGCCACGCACAATGCATTCAGTAACTGCAGGCAAAACGAAGTTTATTTCATGCTGACCTCTCATTAGACCCTCATGCACTATCATAAACCTCTCACATAAACATAAATGTTCCATCTTCTCACTTGTCCCAACATGTGAGGTCTTGTGCATGAAAATGCTATGCCCTTCTTTGGTCACTGGGCCAATTTCAGGGGTCAATGCATGAGAAGTCCCCGGGATCTAACCCAGCAGTCTATTGCTCCCTTTACTGGAAGACTTAGACACTTCTCCCCCTAATTTCAAACATGCCCAAAACATTTTGATTCTGAGGGCCAGTGGGAGGGCGCAGAGGTTAAAATTTGCACCTCCACCAAGCCTGACAATCTGACTACAGCCAGTTCTACTCTGACCTCCACACATACTGTTTGACACGTGTGCCACAAATATATTAAAAATGTAAAAATAAAATCTGACCTTTGGAACACAAGAGGAAACTTAGATATTGGACAATTGACTAATTTATTTCTATAAACAAAACCAGTAATCTGTACCGTGGTATTAACTTATTTGAACCTAGCAATGCCTTTCAAAATTTTGTGTTTATAAAAACATCTTGTCAAAATGCAAATTCTAAGACATGGACTAAGCAAAATTCTATTTTAAGATTTACTTTTACGTTTGTGTGTGATGTGTCCTTGTGCATGCATGTGATGACCAGAGGGACAACCCTGTGGAGCTGGGTCTTTCCTTCCGCTTCTCTGTGGGTTCCAGGGATCTAATTAAAGTTATCAATCTTGTTTTTTTGTTTGTTTTGTCTTTTTGAGACAGGGTCTCCCTGTAGCCTCAGCTGTCCTGGAACTCACTATGTGGACTAGGCTGGCCTCAAACTCACAGAGATCCGCCTGCCTCTGCCTCCCGAGTGCTGGGATTAAAAGCGTGTGCCACCACGCCTGGCAAGTTATCAATCTTGTGTGCCAAATGCTTTTACTTGCTGAGCCATTAGGCCACTCCCAGCTCCCCTAGATGACTGTTGAAGACTTCATCTAATTTCTCTTAAATACTGGCATCTCTGAAATACAGGGTCTCATACAACCCATGCTGGTTCTGATGCTATGTAGCTGAGCTGGCCTTGACCTCTTGATCCTCCTGCCTGTACATCCCCATGTTCCAATTAGACATGTACCACCATGCTTGGCTTTTTCTCATTTTAAAAATACCAGAAACCAAGTTTAAAATGAATTGCCCTGTTCCTAAGTCTTGCTGTGGTACTACATTAAGATGTTTTTTTTTTTTTTTTTTTTTTTCCCTCCCCAAGGCTCTCACATCAAAGGCCTCTAACTTTTGACTTTGAACGTCACCAAGATGGTCAAGATGAAAATAAACACAAGTTCTCACAAACAGGTTAATCAAGTCCATCCCTGTGCTTCATTTAACTTTCTTATTTTGGCTGAGCCTGAGCCTGTAAAACTGGCTCAGCAGACTAGGGACTAAAACCCCAGAGACTAAAGAATATAAAGGTACAGAGAGAGAAGTCCAGAAACCCATACTAGGTGTGCAAGTGGAAAGAAGGGAACATCTAGAAGAAAAAATAGAAACAGCATGGGTCAATGATTTCAAGGACTTTCACCCCAAAACCAGATTAAACCTAGTTAAGAGAACATTGCCATGCCAGTGCTGATGTTCAGTTGGGAAACTGTCCAGCACACTCAAGCCCTGCAGTCACAATCACATCACTGGGCATGGTAGCATCCCCGTACTTGGGAGGTGGTGGCAGGAGAAATCTGAACTTCGGTGAAGTTCAAAGTCAAGTTAAGAGGCTTGGGGTACGAAACAGTCTTAGGGGAAAACGATGTTTCATTAGGACTTATTTTCTGGGTAGCAATAGGTTTTAAAGCAGGAACGAGAGAGTACTTAGAGCCCAAGTGCCTCTGCTATCCCTCAGCTCTTCCCTAAAATTTCTTGGGAAAATACATTACACCCAAGGATAATCTTACAACCTTTTTTTTTTGTTGTTTTTTTAATTTTATGCGTATGAGTATACTGTCTGCATGTAGGTAAGTGCACCCATGTCATACAATGCCCGTGGAGGTCAGAAGAGGCTGTCGGTTCCCCTGGGAATGGAGTTAATGGACAGTTGTTAGCTACCATGTGGGTGCGGGGATTCGAACCCGGGTCTCCTGCAAGAACCACCAGTGTTCTTAACCGCTGAGGCAACTCTACAGCCCCTTTTACAACTTTAAAAAAATTTTATGCCTTTGAGTGTTTTGTCTGTATGGATGTAAATGCACCATGTACCTGCAACAACCCATGGAGGTCAGAGGACGGTGTCAGATCCCCCTGGAACTGAAGTTATGGTTGTTGGGAACTGAGTCCGGGTCCTCTGCAAGAGCAAGTGCTCTTGACCACTGAGCCATCTCTGCAGCCCAAGGATAATCTTCAACTCTAAAACTGCTTTACTGGCAGTATTATTCAAGAGCAAACATGGTATTAACATCAGAGATAGTATTAAATAATAAACTGAGCCGGAAAGAGATAACTCAACAGTTAAAAAGACTAACTGCTCTTGCAGAGGACTAGAATTCAGTTCCTAGTACCCACATTTAGTGGCTCACAACCACCTATAACTCCAGTCCAGGGGATCCAACAGCTTTACTTCATATCTGCAGTCACATGCAGAAACACACACCCAGATAATTAAAAATAAATGTTCAAAAAAAATCGATTGCTCATTTTCTGTTTATAAACAGCAAACCCCAATCTTATCTAAAGGAATACTGACTACTGATTGCTGCTAGATGAGGAACAGCTGACCTTCCTAAAACTCTAGATAGGCTAACTAGATTCACCAGATGGACAAATAGTGGGGAACAGCTGGGGTGCCGACAACACAGTGGACAGTAGCAGGGATAAGAGAGTATAGGGCTCTGGGGGGGGGGGTGCTATGGGAGGGTACCATCTGGGAAGTGGGTGTACAGTTGAATAAGATGGCTTGGGATGTTCTGTGTGATACACACACACACACAAAAATCAACAAATTTAAAAAAATGTGTATTTCAAAAATTTAGACATGTTTATTAGTAGAGGTGATAAACATTACCATTGAAATCTATCCAATGACTACAGACATACACAGGCGCCAAGGATCCAAGTGTAACTGATTATGACTAGTAATAATCAGATGCATACAGATTAGAGATGCAAGTGCCAAAAGCTCAGTGTTAGTAGCAAAAACGGTGTCAATCTGTAAGAAACAGTGTATTTTAAAATGGAGATCTTTTTTAAAGGCTAAAAACTCAATTTTATGTCTTACAGGGCTTATACTGAGTTCAATTATTATATAACTGTATTAATTCAACTGTGAACTTAATTTACAGCCACTTTTGAAAGAGATGTATTCTTGCTTTGGAGTGTTACTGAATATGTCAAAGCTGTAATGAAATGCTTCTTCTAATCATGTAGTTATTAAATTAAAAAAAATCAATTGTTATATTCCTAATATAAACATGGTAAATCATAGATTTTTTTGAGACAGGGTCCATGTAACCTGGCTGGCCTGGAACTTGCTATGTACACCAGCCTGGCCTTAAAACTAAAGATCCAATGGCCTCTGCCTCCTCAGAGCTGGGATTAAAGCCATGCATCCCAGCCCAGTAGCCTGGTGATATTCTAAAAATCAAATCTTGGGGTTCAGATGATCGTTTACAAAGTAGAGATTTGAATAGACCACAGAAATTATGTAATTGTTCTATACTTCAACATACATGGTAAATGGTAGATATTTTTTTTGAGACAGGATAATGCCTAATTTGTCTTCTGTAGTCTATGATATAAAACCACTAATCAATGGGGCTGGGGATGTAGCTCAATAGAACATTTGCCCAGCATGTGTAAACCTTGATTTGATTCTTAGCACTGGGGAAAGAAAGCAAATGCCAGGCAAGGTGGCAGACCTGTAATCTCAGCACTAAGGAAGGAAAGGCAGTATGACCAAGTTTGAGGGCAGCCTGGTTCACACAGCAAAATTCCAGACCAGTAAGATCCTGTTTAAAAGACACTCAAGCATTAAGACAGTATCTGTATCTATTATCAATTTACTTGAACTTCCAAGTGTATTGAAACTATAAAAATAGCAATATTAAACTACCTGATTCTAATTTTACTAGTTTGCAACTGGTTTACCAGCATAGAAAAACTGACTGAGCATTTACCAAAAAAGCCAATTATGCAAGTGTTTCAGTCATTATTTCATTGGACATTTTACAAAAGCACCAAGTTAGAAACCACTTGAGTAAATCATGGCATTTTATAGTTAAGTTATAGTTAAGTCTGGATAACAGATCTGCTGCAATGAAACTTGAAAGCCCTATTTAACATACTGGAGAAAATGCTTCAGCCAGAAATACAATCTTGAATGTTCCTTTAAAACTTATGAACATCCAATGCAGGGGGGCCTCAGTAGTGAACAGCTAACCATATCTACTAATTGTCACCTGCACAATGTATTTAACAGAATCATTAGATCAGCAATGCCTGTAACTTCCCTCTCTCTACTTAAGGATTGAGGCAGTAAACTACCAGTTGAACTGCCCCACCCTCTAGGGAAATTAAAAACCTTGTTAGGCTACAATAAGCAGGTAACAACTGTGCTCAGTGTTTTCATCTTTGTTCTATACTGAAAGTTAAAAACAAAACCCCCCGATAACCACCTTTTTCACAAAACATATTGCAGGGAGGCAAGCAAATACAGCTGAAAATTGTGTCTAGTTAAAAAGCACTATAAGCAAGGAAGGTGTGGAGCCACAAACCTTTAGTCCCAGCACAAGGGAGGCAGGGGCAGGTGGATGTCTGAGTTTGAGGCTAACCTGGGTCTACATAGTGAAACCCCGATTTGGGGGGGGGGGGAGAAGCATTAAGTGCTAGACTAGGTAACAAAGGTAAAATCAGTGATCCCCCCCCAATAGCTATGGATTATATTCTTCTATCACTTTAATAATTAATGCAAGGAGCTGGGTATGGTTGCACATGCCTTTAATCAATGCCAGCACTTGGATCTCTGTGAGATGAAGGCTAGCCTGGTCTACACAGTGAGTTCCTGACCAGCTATGGATACAGGGAGACCCTATCTCAAAAAACAACCAAATTAATTCAAGGCTGAACTTAAGTTGATGACAAAGTTTCAGTTTTAAAAGGTAGGAAACACTACCTACACCCTATGCCAATTCCTTATAATAGATCACATTTATAAAAGGACTTATAATCTTTTATTTAAACCTTTATAACTAAAGAGTCAGGCATGACAGGAGGTTCCTAGCAAGAGTCCATCTGAAAAAAACTTATGTGGATTATACCAAGGAGAAACCAATTCTCAGAATTAGACACCAAAAGTTAATTAAATGACTCAGATTCAGAGCAACAGTTGGGTAAATTGTAACTTTTTTTTATTGGAAAACAAATATACAACTTGGAATGGATTTGAGGCAAATTGTGCCATAAGCAGATTTTCTTTAAGTGGCTAAACAAAGTTTAAAAAGCAAGTAACAACAAAAGAAAATGTTTCTGGTACAATACCAGCAGTACAAAAAAATAGCGTACGAGTACCTGGATAAAACACCCGTTTTGCAATAGTGCACCTCTTAAGTACATATTGCTGACTGTCCATAGTCCACGCAGAGTTACAACTCCACACTTCAACAACATGCTGACAGTTCCTAAAAACTACTTTAAAAAAGGCATAACCCACCAAAAAAAAGGCATAACCCAGATGTTCCCTCATTTGACCAACTCTATCTAAGTTTAGATGTGCAGAAGGGCTTAGATGTATCCAGAGTAAGCCACATGCAACATGTTACTTCATCAGTTTTCTAAAATAAGGTTTTCAAGTAACAATAAAAGAAAATGTTTCTGGTACAATACCAGCAGTACAAAAAAATAGTGTACGAGTACCTGGATAAAACACCCGTTTTGCAATAGTGCAACTTTTAAGTACATATTGTTGACTGTCCATAGTCCACGCAGAGTTACAACTCCACACTTCAACAACATGCTGACAGTTCCTAAAAACTACTTTAAAAAAGGCATAACCCAGATGTTCCCTCATTTGACCAACTCCATCTAAGTTTAGATGTGCAGAAGGGCTTAGATATATCCAGAGTAAGCCACATGCAACATGTTACTTCATCAGTTTTCTAAAATAAGGTTTTGAAGGACAGTGACAGTAGATAAGGGAAGAAAACATGGAGGAATGAAGTCCTAATTACTATACATGCATATTTTTTTGACAGTAGGGGGAACCTTTTACAGATAAGTTACAAACAAAGAAAAGGCAAATAAACAATTTTGTACAAGAAATTTAACACATTCTGTACAATGTCTTCACTTTGCTGTCATCATTTGTACAAACTCTGAAAAATAAAAAAACATAAAAGGTGTTCAATGGCAAAAGTACAAAACCAATCACATCACTCAACCAAGCAGTCTCTCCCTTTCCTCAGAATTACCATAAAAATACAGAGGAAAGCTACCTTATGACCAACGCTGGAACAATTATTCAGGATCATTAACCATAAGCCTATTAATGTTTATGGGAACTATTATAAAAGCAACATTTTGGGGCTGTGGAGTATAGCTCTTGGTAGAACACTTAGTATTTGCAAAGCCCAGGGTTCAATCCCCAGCAAGGGGATGGAGATACTAAGCATCCTTGGCTTTTTAGTTTGTACTTGCTGGGTTACCAGTCAATATTGTAATTTCAGTGCAATGGCCTGCTTTTGTGATATAACCAATTCTATGCTGCTCACCACTGTCCTATCATGAATACAAGTGAAAAAGTTGGGAGGCAAAGGTTTCAGTGAGAATTCTTTCAAGTTCTGAAGGTCTTGCTTCCTGCAGTGGCCATCTAAAGTTCAGAGCAACATAATACTTTTGAATTCAACCATGTGTTAATTTCATTTTAGGGAGTGTTCAGTAAATTTTATAAGGTTTTCAAATTAATCCACCATCTCATAAAAGAAAACAAAACCAACTGTACAGTTCCACTCAAATGTTTATGTATACATCAATTATCCAGAAACCTTATTAAAATGTACTGACAGTGAAAGTTCCTAGATGACTCGTGTTGCATGGTGGGCAAAAACAACATTTTAAATTGCCTAAGTTTAACTAAATAACTATTTCAGCATCCAAATTATGGGAAGTGGGAATCCCACTGATTTTTCAGTTGAGATACTTCAGTACTTTAAACTCAGAAATCAAAGCACAGAGTAAGAGTGATTGTGACTTACCTTCATAGTTTACCTGGCCATCACCGTCAATATCTGCTTCCCTGATCATCTCATCCACCTCTTCATCTGTTAACTTCTCTCCAAGGTTTGTCATCACATGGCGAAGCTCTGCTGCGCTGATATAGCCATTGCCATCCTACAGAAAAACAGTAAAACGTCTGAGTTTGAAACAAAATGTTAACTTAATTTCATGAGAAAAATATTTAGAAATAAACTCAAAAGAATCTACAGTTGATCTACAAATGTAGATCAATTAAATGTCACTAAGCAGGATGTCCTATATTCAAGTCACTATTCCCTGACTGCAAAGTCACATGGTGCCTCCTTTGCAAGAAGATTAATGCAACATACCCATTCTTTGGAAATCCAAGTTCACACTTAATTCTTCAAGTTTTCACTTGGCATTTATGTTGGTAAATCGGGCCTTGAACATTACCTTATCAAACACACGGAATGCTTCTCTAATTTCTTCTTCACTGTCTGTGTCTTTCATTTTTCTTGCCATCATTGTCAGAAATTCAGGGAAGTCAATTGTACCATTACCTGAAATGGTTTAATTTAAAACATGAAATAGAATGCAAATAAAACACCTTTGCTTCAAATCCTCCAACTCTCCCCAAAAAACTTACCATCTGCATCTACTTCATTAATCATGTCCTGTAACTCTGCTTCTGTAGGATTCTGCCCAAGAGACCTCATTACAGTTCCCAATTCCTTTGTTGTTATAGTTCCATCACCATCCTTGTCAAATAGCGAAAAGGCTTCTTTGAATTCTATTGAAAGACCAAAATCCACATGTACAAGTTAAGAATAAAAATTTACTAATTCTTAGCCAGGCGTGGTGGTGAACGCCTTTAATCCCAGCAGAGGCAGGCGGATCTTGGTGAGTTCAAGGCCAGCCTGGTCTACATAGTGAGTTCCAGGACAGCTGGGGCTACACAAAGACCAAAAAAAGAAAAAAATACCAATTCTTAAGTAAAAATACCTATGGAGACAGCATTTCAAATGGGACTTTGATTCTTAATATGAGGTGATTCCTAGTATATTAGATGGGAAAACTCGTGATAATACTTAAATATCTTTGGCCAGACGTACCAGTCTATGGTCATACTAACCTACTAGGGAGGTCTTAAAACTTCACAAGGAAATCCTATATAGACAGATGAGAATACGTTTTTAATGTTCGCTTTAAAGGCTAAAGTTATGTCTAAAACCATCAAGCAACTAAATACAAAAGCCTTAAACCAGAGAAAAACATGAAATAGGCTAGTTTCATTTTCTAGAAGCGCTTACAAGAGCTTACCAATAATGATGATGTTAATAATGGACTGATCAAGCTATCACGCTCCAGTTTTAGCTCAGGGTCATTACATAAAACCAAGGTAATTTTGCATAGAAAACGAGTTTACAATAAAGTAAAATTATAATCATGCTCCTTCTAATTCAATTTATCTGGAAAGGTGCTCAAGCAGAACTCCATACTATCTGCCTTTACCTTTATCTTCACATAAGATTAAATGATGTACTTCCAAGGTCATGGCAGCTGTTAATAAGAAAGAAAGCTGCCACTTTTTGAATAAGGCACTTTCTAAACAGATTAGATCTTATCAGTAAACAAAAAAGCAGTTTCAAAGTTTATGGACCAATAAATTTTCCTATGTACACAATCTGAAAATGTGCATCTGACACATCTGAAACGGAGAAGTGTAAACACTTGTCTATCTCTATTCCAATTTATATACTTTCCTATTGCATTTTATAGTCTCTCTCCAGACTCACCCATTCCTGCACTGATTCTGTCCAGTAGTACATAAATATGTCCACATCTCTTGGCCTAGAACTAAATTCAAATCTTGCATTTTCTTAAGTGCTTGCCCTCGTTCCTCCCAAAATTTGGAAGGTGGAACTACTCATATCCAGTTCCTCTCTATCAACAAATTATTAAAAATTACTTGTAGCTCAAATTTATCACCTGGAACCTGGTTAAGTTCACCAATGACCGCTTAACTTGCCTAATCTAATTATGGGAGGCCATGTGGCCAGGTTTAAAAAGCAAGCCTTGGAATTTGGCCTCCTGTGTTAAAACATCTTAGCTCTGCTATTTACTAGCAACATAGAAACAGCAAAGAACTAAATTCCTTTTAACTTTTTTTTTTGAAAGAATGAGGGTTAATTATACCCATTTTTCAAGATTAAAGCTATGTGCAAAGCATTAAAAAGCACAGGCCCATGTAAAGAAAAGGATCTATTATCACAACAAAACTATACTGGAAAACTCTCTTGGTTTCCACAGCAGCCTTTTGATTTTTCTCCCATCACACTTGGTTCTTGTTTTTATGGGCACATGCTGCAAAGTTTTATCTTTTTTCTCTATGGTCATTTCATTTATGCTCACTTATACCAAAGACTTGCATCTACTTATCACTCTCAGTATTTTTATTTCTGACTGTCCTAGCAGCTTTCCCCTGGCTGACCACAGGCAAGACATACATGAATCCAATAACCCCCAGTAACTCCACGGATACAAGCAAAAACCAGGTTATACATAAGCCTATCTATTTCCCACAATTTAGCTTATTTAAGTCATATAATAGCTTGCTTATTGCTAGGTAAACACTGGGAGCTTATGCATTTAGTAGTGATAATAAAAGGTTAGTGTAATCTTTTAGTAACTTAGTAGGTGATGCTATTGTATCTGAACTGATCTACACAATTTGTACATCTTTTTTTTTTTTTTTAAGTCTTTTTGAGACAAGGTCTCCCATAGCCCCAGCTGTCCTGGAATTCACTGTGTAGACCAGGCTGGCCTCGAACTCACAAAGATCTGCCTGTCTCTGCCTCTGGAGTGCTGGGATTAAAGGCATGCACCCGTGCCTGGCTGAAAATAATTTTTTAAAAGGCTCTTAGAACTTTCTAAAGTGTAAAAATTTAGTCATTCTAACTGGTCCCCTCTGAAACCTATTAAGTTGTACTAAATTTTACCATTTTAAAATATTGCCTGTGGGCTAGAGATGGCTCAGCCATTAGAGCACTGACTGCTCTTGTAGAGGACGATCCAGGTTTGATTCCCAGCACCCACATGGCAGCTAACAACCATCAGCAACTCCAGTTCCAGAGGACCCAATGCCATCTTCTGGCCTCTGTGAGCACTGCATAATGGTGTACTTACATGCATGCGGGCAAAACATTTATACACGTAAAAATAAATTTTAAAATCTAAAACTAATACTTTAACTCACCGTCATTATCTTTTGGGCATACTATTTTAACTGCCTCCTACTTGGGTTTTTTTGTTAACATTACCCACACAATTGTTTGGATCCTATTACCTTTTTAGAACCCCAGGTTACTTTCTTCTGCATAAAACAATTACTTAGCTTTATTTAAATTAGGTACCATTCATTAGTTTGTAGTTGGTTAGCTATAGTCAATATATAGCAATTCCATTCCACTTAAATATTACTTATTTCCATAGGAACTCTCTATCATCCAATCAAAAGCTTAATATCACCAATAATTGATTACAATAGCTCATGCCTTTAATCAAAGCCCTTCGGAGGCAGAGGCAAGCCTGGTAGGTCTACAAAGGGAGTTTCAAGCCAGTTGGGGCTACAACAGGGAAACTGTCTCAAAATAAACACAAAAACAAAAATGAAAACAAAACCCCCTACAAAAATCCAAACCCAACCAAAACAAATATTAGGACATTACCCACCTACCAAAAAAAAAAAAAAAAAAAAAAAAAAAAAGCAGGATTTGATAAGGGCTGTTCCATTTCACTAAATTTTTACACTTTAGAAAGTTCTAAGCGCCTTAAAAAAAATTCTTTTCAGCCAGGCACAGTGGTACATGCCTTTAATCCCAGCACTCCAGAGGCATCTCTGCTAGTTCGAGGCCAGCCTGGTCTACACAGTCAATTTCAGGCCAGCTGGGGCTACAGGGAGACCTTGTCTCAAAAAGACTAAAAAGATGTACAAATTGTGTAGATCAGTTCGGACACAGTAGCATCACCTACTAAGTTACTAAAAGATTACACTTACCTTTTACTACTAAATGCATAAGCTCCCAATGTTTACCTAGCAATAAGCAAGCTATTATATGACTTAAGCTAAATTGTGGGAAATAGATAGGCTTATGTATATCCCAAATTTCAAAATAAATTTTAAACTCCAATAATCTTTAAAATGTTAGCTAAATAACTAAACATCCACTCGTCAGGCATGGTGATGCACACTTGTAATACCAGCACTGGAGAGGCAGAGGCAAGAGGATCGCTAGCTAGAGGCCATTCTGGGCCTTGTCTCAAACAAAAAAAAGATTGTTCATGCTACACTTACAGTTTATGTGTGCAAGAACGAACTATTTGTGCTCTCACATTAAAGATTCAGCGCTATTAACAACTCCTTTAAATACAGTATATATACCCGAAAGAATAAAACTTATAATCTATAATCACCTGTCTATAATATACAGTTCACAAGGCCTTCAAAACTACCAATCTGTACATACATCGAAGCTTTTTGGGGATTTTTATGAAACAGTCTCCCTGTAGCCCCAGCTGGCCTGGAAATACACTATGTAGATTAGACAGGCCTTGAACTCACAGAGATCCACCTGTCTCTGCCTCCCAAGTACTGGGACTACAGGGATGTGCCACCACGTGTGGTGTCATGGACTTTTTTTATCCTAAACATTAATTCCTACTAATAATTTGAAAAATAAATCTAGGATCTAAAATTTTAATATACAATAAAGAACTCAATGCCAGTTATCCTCTAACTATAGGCACAAGGAACCTCTCCAGACTCATTCTAGTTATGCCTACAGTGAAATTTTTAGACAAGTCGAAGTTATTCATTTGTTCATTATCTCCAAGATAAAACAGTCACATAAATAACACAATCATGAGACTATCACAAAAGGAAATGTGAATGTCTGGAAAAGTCTCTTGTACTAGACCTTTGTTGTCATCATATGGTTACTCTTGCTACATACTGAGTAAAGTTAATGGTGTGGGGGGTTTTGGGATCTTTTTTTGAAACAGGGTCTTCCTGTAGCCCCAGTTGGCCTGGAACTCACTATGTAGTCCAGGCTTGCCTTGAACTCAGAGATCTACCTACCTGTACTACCACGCCTGACCTAAATTAATGTATTTTTTAAATCAAATTTGGACCTTGGTTGTTTAAGGCTAAGGCAGATTTGTGAAAAAAAATTTAAAACCTTGTACTTTTTCTATTCTTTCAAATGTCAAACATCAATAACTACAGTAAAGATAGTTATGAACAAAACTTATTGATGTCATACTAGACTGGTGTGCTCACTCAAGACAAAGCAACATAAAGCAATATATTTAGCAACTAAGTCACCCAAATAAATAGGTTTTCTAGACCAAGCCATTTGCTGTTAGAATTTCCAGACAAATATGTAGTGATTATTATATAAGAATAAAAATTAGCTTCAAATTTATCTTAGTATACTCAATGTTGCCTATGTACAAACCTTTTAACATTTTTTTTCTGAAAGAATTAGACTTTAGACTCTAGAATATTATTGGCCACCAGCAACTTACCAGTTACAAGAAAAAAAACCAACTGTCCCTCTAGACACTGAAATACAACAAATTTCTAAGAAAGGACCTTAGGGGAGTACACAGGACAGTCTATCAGGGTACTGATATGTTTTAGTGTCACGTATGTTTGAGAGTAAGTTATCCACTCTAACTACTACATGGTAGGCACCAGGGATTAGGGATAAGAACAAATAAGGTCCATGACTGCACATGGCTTTATTTTTGTAAAATTTTGTGTTTTCTGTCCTAAAAGTTCAGTGAAACCCACAGTGAAAGAATGGACTTAATAAAAATCCACAGAATAGGAAAAGGCAGGACAGGGAAAGAACCTCACCTCCGTTCCTACTAGGAAAGCCAATTTATGAATTTTCCCTCTTTTTTGAGAAAGGGTCTCAGTATATAGCCCTGCTTCTCTGGAACTTGCTTTGTGGATCAGGCTGGCCTTAAACTCAGAGATCCACCTGCCTCTGCCTCCCAAGTGCTAAGACTAAAGTTCTAGTATTAATTAAAAGTGTGCACCACCACACACTGGCAGAATTTTCCTTTTAGATAAAGAGTCTTACTCTAACAATTACCCAGTAGCTACAAAAATTCTTTATAAAAATGTTACCAGTCACTTGAAAATCCTATCCTCTTACAATGAACAGACATAAAAAGCTTTTTAAGAGATCCAGATTTAGGAGGCCTAGATATGATGGGTATCTTGAATCCCTGAAGTGTGTTATGATAGGAGGAACCACTATTTGACTAGAAATACTGAAAAATGAAAGGCAGATACATTAAAGAACGTCTGAGTTTTGGAATAATAGAAATATTATGATACCCATTAGTTCCTAAGGAAAAAAAAATTAGAAGAAAAAAATTGCTGACAATTTAAAACGGTGTAATAGGGTTAGGGGTTCTTTAGTATGTATGTACAGCTGTGGGTACAGTTTAACATGGTACAACAAAAACTTCAAAATTCTGCTTGATTGCTTCAACATACTCAATACACAGTTTATCAATCTTAAAAAGTGAATCTTACACATAAGTCAAATTACACATTAAGCAGTAAAAATAAAACCTGTTTCCATTTGGCCCATAATTCTAGTAGCTTTTTACTTTATACAGTCATCAAATAATACTTATGATAGATATTTGAGGACACTAGTGATTCCTGATAGCCTCCAAAAGTTTCTGTATATTTACAGGAAGGGCAGATTTGCTTTAAATTGGCAGTACAGTGAGCTCTGAACTTAAAATGCTGGAGTACCTAGTGAGTGGGGCATGCTGGAGCCAGAGTACAATCCTAGCATTTGGGAGAAGGATCACAAGTTCCAAACCAGCCTGACCTCTATGGGAGGCTCAAGGTCAACCTGAGATATATAGTAAAACTTTGTTTCCAAAAACCAAATGCTGGGAATGTAGCTCAGTGGTAGAGCACTTGCTTGGCATACACAAAACTCTTGCGTTCAATCTCTAGCACCACAGGGGGTAAAAAAAAATCAGTGTTTGAGTACTTATCAATGGGCCTTCCTGCTCACTGGGGAAATTTGGCTGGTGCACATTCCACTAGAATTCTGACAAGGCCAGGCAAGGCGGTAATGTCTGTAATCCTTGCACTCAGGAGCCAGGAGGACTAAGTTCAAGACCAGTATGTACAACACAGCAAAACCTTGTTCTCGGAGAGGGAGAAGGGGAGGAGGAGGGAAGGAGGGAACACAATTGGCAAGCTTACACATTTCACCATTAGTCAGTCAAAATATCAGAAAACCTAAAGTACTAACAGTTAAATAATATAGCATAAAGATAATGGGTTTTATGCAGTAATTTCATATAGTTCCTTCAAAAGGTCCAATTCAATAGCTGTCACAGCTTTTTATGCCAAAAGTCCAATTACCACAGTGACATTTCCATGGAAATGGTTACTTCCCAATTAATTACAGACTAAATATTCCTTATCTGAAATGCTTGGGATCAGAAATGTTTCAGATTTCAAAGTATTTCCTGCTTCATACACCTTACCCTAAATTTTTTTTTTTTTTTGGTCTTTTTGAGACAGGTCTCCCTGTGGCCCCAGCTGTCCTGGAACTCACTATGTAGACCAGGCTGGCCTTGAACTCAAAGAGATCCGCCTGCCTCTGCCTCCCAAGTGCTGGGACTACAGGCATGTGCCACCATGCCTGGCCCAAAATAATTTTTAAAGTACTTTTGGTGCCCAAGAATTTCAGCTGCAACCCAACAATGTGTGAGGATTCAAGAAAGCAAAAAATTCCATTAACAATGTCATGTCAGTTTCAGACTTTCTGATTAGGACTGCTCAAATCTGTATGTAATCCTAAATTACATACAATTATAATTTAAGCCTGGGTAAATTCGATGTTCATTTTTCTGACTCTGTATTTCAATTTAATTACTGCTTAGCCTCCTTTTCTTATAGAAACTAGTTTGAAGTTACATGCCCTTAAAAAAAAAAAAAAAAAAAGGCCTACCACCACCAGGCTCCACAGTATGTATATGGACACTAAAACATGTCTTTGAGTACAGTTAGTCCCACTCATCATTCACAGGCAAGTTTACATTCATACCTACCAAAGCAGGTTCAATTACAATATTACGTTACCACTGAATGCTACCATATATAAAAGGCAATTATTTCATTTACCTAAGAATCTTAGCCGGGCGTGGTGGCGCATGCCTTTAATTCCAGCACTCAGGAGGCAGAGGCAGGTGTATCTCTTTGAGTTCCAGGCCAGCCTGGTCCATATAGTGAGTTCCAGGACAGCTGGGGTTACAGGGAGACCCTGTCTCAAAAAAAAGAATCTTATTCTGGGCTGGGTGTGGTGCATGCCTTTAATCCCAGAGCTCAGGAGAGAGGCAGATCTCTCTGAGTTCAAGGCCAGACTGGTCTACACAGTGAATTCCAGGCCAGCTGGAGCTACAGAGGCCCTGTCTTCCCAAAACAAAAAACAGAAACAAAACACCCCATCTTATTGTGAAGCAGGGCATGGTGGCACATGCCTTTAATCCCAGCACTTGGGAGGCAGCTGGGACAACAGGGAGACTCTGTCGAAAAAAAAAAAAAAAAAAAAAAAAAAAAAAAAAAAACCACACCACCTTATTTTGAGCTGGGTGTGGTGGTGCACACTTTTAATTCTAGCACTCAGGAAACAGGAAGGAGGATCTCTGTGAGTTCCAAGCCAGCTGGGAGACCCCCGTCTCAAAAACCCAAAAAGAATTCTTATTTTGAGTTTGACTATTTGATTTGCAGTAAATGCCAATGGGTATCATCTAGCTATCTCTTACCTGCAATCTGCTCCTCAGTCAGTTGGTCAGCCTACAAAGAGATAAAAAGTGGGTTAATGATTTACCAATATGTAGATTTAGCAGTTACAGAAACAAGCTTTAAATTATTCGAAGTTCATGATGTGCTGTGATCTATTCAGTTCTACATTCCCTTAAAAAAAAAAAAGTGGGTAGAATATGCACATATCTAATTTAACTTCATAGCCACGCAATCCTGACTCCAAGTTTTATAGCAAATACCTCAGAAAGCTTTGAAAGGTCCCCTTTAAAATCTTAAAATGTATACATATTTGAAAAAAAAAATCTTAGACTACTTGGAGTTGTTATTCTTCTAAGCAACGAATCCAAAACCAGTTTCCTTTTTAAGTTAAATACCTAAATTTAAACTTTGAATGTCAGATTTTTAAAAATTATTAGAAACTGCCATTCAATGAACTTAAAAAATCTCAAATTGAAAAATCACTATCATAAATGTTAACTATTAAGCATAACATCCTGACATAAAAGCATTTCCAAAACCTAAGGAAGGGGGGGGACGGACCAGAAGCACCACTAGCTTTTAGGACTTCACCAGGGAGGCAACTGCAAAGAATCTAAGGTTCTAAAATATTTACTGAATGTTAAGTCTAGTCATTCATTTTCTCATATTTTTGAAATCCCTAAGTAACATGATGTTTTCACAGCACGTGGAAAAGTTACTAGGTTTTCTGTTTTTTTTTTTTTTTTGTTTAAAGAAGGCTCAGGTCAAATAAAGGCAGGTTCAAGTACGGCAGACAACTTAATAGATCAAGTGTTAAACATTGTGCCAGACCTATCCAATACCTTACGTTTTGCATTACAATATATAAAATGTTTGCAAAAAAACACAGGTTCTTTGTCAGAAGGTTTACTTGTAAATATTTCCCTGCTTTTTGGTGCTCAATTAGGCACAGCCAAAGAGCCTCAAAGCCAAAATCCTTATCAACATGGAGTCAACTGTAGCATAGGTAATTGCATAGGTAATTCATTCTCTTGTTAGGTGAAGAAAAACACTGCCTGGCTTCATTTTTTAACTAAGTGAACACACCACTGGAGTAGAGTCACATCTTTCTAACTCATATATTCTCCAGAGCACAGCATAAGGAAATTTCAAAGGGAACCCAGAAGGTAATTTCCCTGCTCAACAATTTTGATCTGAGCCACAGCAGGATGATCATGGTTCAAGGCCAGTCTGGGCTACTTAGGCAGATCCAATCTCAATAAGCAACATATGATTCATTTTTATTAAAAAAAAAAAAAAAAAAAAAAAAAAAAACACCCAAGAAAGGGCCAGGAACACAGCTCATCTGTACAGTTTGCCAAGCACTTTTTAGGTCTTGGGTTCAATTCCCAGTAATGGGGTCGGGGTTGGGGGGGGATGGATGGGGGCATAAATGTGTTCAAGTGCATAAGATTCTAGGATTTAAAAAATTTATTTTGCTCCTCTAAGTCTCAATCCTCCACCAATATGGTTCTCTAGGAACAGGACTTAATAGCTGTGGGCCTTGCATACATTACTTAACTGTCAGAGGCAATTTAATCTACATCTACCTTAAACCATGCAAAAGCTATCTAAAGGGTTATGTCTAGCTATCAGTTCATATAATTTAACCAAACAACTTACAATTTTCCACACAAAAGGTAAAAATGCATGGCATTACAAAGCTCTTTAAGTAAAGCCCACTGTGCTCCACGGTAGAAATTTACTTGTATAAACTGAAACCAAAAGGTGCAAAACGCACCCTAGAAACAAATGACGCAGGTGAAATAAACTGAAATCATCTTAAGCCTTTAAAAACGTTAAGCTTCAATATGTAGCAAGTACTGGTTTATGCAGAAATCTAAGAAATGAATTATGAATGAAACAGGAAGGCTTTATTCGCTCAACATGTTGGCTGGAGGATGAGGGGAGGCGCCTGTGTGTATACATGAAAGATGTTAAGGTCTCAGGAAAACTGGGTAAATGAGCTTTCCTTACAAAAAGTAGAAATGTAATAAGGACTTCAAACCAGCTAGTTCAGCTCCAAGCAAATGTAATCTTATAAAACTTCAAGGAATAAACTAGGTACTTCTCATATAACTTGAAAGGCTCTCAACTTAGCTCAAGGTTTAATGAAAGTTTATTTTTTTTCTTACTGGAGTTTAGATTTTAAAATAAACTTTACCAGTAACATTTAAACCTTCTAAATTGAAAACTTAAGACTTCCTGGCACTCAACTTTTCCAACTACAAGCCAATAAATTTGACTCCTGTGCAGAGAGAGCGCCATTTTCTTAGTTAGAAGAACCAGAATACTTTGGGGGAAAAATACAAGCTAATTAACTTGTGTTTATATCAGTAAAGTGAAGGCTAATCACCAGAGGGATGACTAGTACTTAACTCTCTCAATTCTTCAACTGTAGATCAAGCCCTCCTCCTGCTGTCATTCCAGAAGTTTCCAG